CGCCCCATAGAACCCCACAGCCCCCCATAGCGCCCTATGGCGCCCCACAGCCCCACTCACCCCAGTAGAGATGGGGCCGCAGACGGGGCTGGAGCCGTTCTGTGGGGCGGGGGGCAGCTGGGGGGACAAAGAGGGGGCGGGGCCTCAGCGCGAGGGCGGGGCCAAACCGGGAGGGAGGCGGGGCTTCGCCACAGAAACGTAATCGACACGGGGGGGGCGGGGCTTCTGCCGGTGGGCGGGGCCTCATAACGGGGCAGAGCGGATGAGGGGGCGTGGTCATGGCGGGGCGGGGCCAAACCAGGAAGCGGATGAAAGAAGGGGGCGGGGTCGGGAAGGAGGCGGGGTCGAATGCGGAGGCGCGGCCAGGAAGTGGGGGCGTGGCCTCGATCTGGGGCGAGAAGGGGCGGGGTCAGAAAAAGGGGCGTGGTCAAAGCCGTGCGGGGGCCAATAGGAGGCAGGGCCAACGTTGGGGGCGGGGCCAAAGAGAGGGGAGAAAGGAGGCGGGGCCAGCAAAGGGTGGAGCCAAAGGGGGCGGAGCCAATCGGGGGAGGGGGGGCCGGAAAAGGGGGCAGGACCAAAACGGGGTAAAAAGGGGGCGGAGCCTCACCTGATTGGGCCGCAGGATGTCGTGGGCGGCGCTCAGCATCACCACGTAAGGGAAGTTATTGCACAGCCCCAAAAGCCTGAGGCACCGGTTATGGGGCGCCCCATCAGTGCCCGACCCACGGATCCGTGGGGCGCCCCATAGATCTGCGCTTCCCACTCACCAAAAGGCGGCGCCGTTGCGGCAGTTCTCCATGCGGGATGGGGAGGGCGGCTCCTCGTCTGTGGGGCAGAAATGGGGTCTGTGGGGCCCTAAAGGGCGCTATGGGGCTCCGCGGGGTCCCTTTGGGGTCTCTGCAGGTTTCTATGGGGTCTCTGTGGGTCCCTATGGGGCGCCGCTCACCGCCTCCATCGCTTTCCGCCATCGCTGCCGGCTGCGGGGAGAGTCACGTGACCGACGCACCACGTGATCGCCGGAACGCTGCGCATGCGCCGTTCAAACCGTTTTCGGTCATCTCACTGACGGCGAACTTCCGCCTCGCTACCCACAATGCCACGCGCTGCCACGGAAATGGAGAATACGGAAAGCCCCGCCTTTTACGCTGCTCACATCCGGTGCCTCGCTAACGGTGCGCATTTGCCTCACTACCCAAAGTGCCTCGCGCTTAAACGGAAATGGATCGCCCGTAAGTCGCCGCCATTGTTGGTCCTTCCCCGTTGCCTCGCTAAAGATGGTTATTCGCCTCTTTACGCACAATCCCCCGCGCCCAAAACGGAAACGTCTCGCCCGCAAGTTTCCGCCATTTCCGGCCTGTTCTCAATGCCTCAATGGCAGGGTTCTATTTTGCCTCGTTACCCACAATCCCCGAAGCGGAACCGGAAACTTTTTGCCCGGAAATTTCATTCACTTCCCCTCCTGCCTCTGTTGCCTCGCTAAAGATGCACTTCCGCCTCCTTACCCACAATCCGCCGCTCTAAAACGGAAATGGATCTGGCGGAAGTTTTTACTATTTCCGGTCCTGTTCCCTTGCCCCGCTAATGATGCATTTCCGCCTCGTTACCCACAATTTCCCGCGCTGAAACGGAATTGCGTCGCCCGGAAGTTTCCTCCATTTCCGGTCCTGTCCCCGTTGCCTCTCTAAGAAAATTATTCCGCCTCGTTAACCACAACCCCTCCGCGTACTCCCGGAAACGACCGTACCGGAAGTACCCGCCTTTTTCGCCACCGATCCCAGCTCCGATTGGCCGAGCTGTCCCGGGTGGGCGGAAGCGGCGCCATGGCGGATCCGGAGCTGAGCGCCGAGGTGCTGCGGGAGCGGCTGAGGAAGGAGCTGGGAGCCGAGCACGTGGTCAGCGCCCTGCGATCCTCAGCGGGGCTTTTGGGGTCCCTGTGGGGTTCTTTGGGGGGTCCTTGTGGGGTCTTGATGGGGTCCTTGTGGGTTTAAGGGGGTTTTTATGGGGTTGTGGGATCTGCACGTGGAGTTACGGCGTTTTTATGGGGTCACTGGGGTTGTGGGTCCGGATATGGGGTTACGGGGTCCTTATGGGGCCGTTATGGGTTTTATGGGGTTATGGGGTCCTTATGGTGTCCTTACGGGGCCCTTATGGGGCTTACGACCTTATGGGGTTCTTATGGGGTCCTTATGGGGCTGCTATGGGGCTTACGACGTTATGGGGTCCTTATGGGGCTTACGACGTTATGGGGTTCTTATGGGGTCTTTATGGGGCCGTTCTGGGTTTTATGGGGTTGTGGGGTCCTTGCAGGGTTTTATGGGGTCCTTATGAGGTCCTTATGGGGCTGCTGTGGGGTCGTGGGTCCAGATATGGGGTTATGGGTCTGGTTATGGGGTTGCGATTGAGTTTGGTGTGGGGTGTTACGGGATCCTGAGCAGAGGGATGTGGGGTTTTTGGGGTGTAGGGTCACGGGCGGTTATGGGGGGTTATGGGGTCGCTGTGGGGTGGCTATGGGGCAGCCATGGGGCGGCTATGGGGCGCTGCTCTCACTGTGCCCCACAGGAAGTCGAGGACACGACGGCATCGCGCTGCGCCAGCAGCTTCCGGGTTCTGGTGGTGGCGGCGGCGTTCAGAGGAATGGGGCTCCTGCAGAGGCACCGGTAGGGGGCGCCCCATAGAAACCCCATAGAGACCATAGGGATCCCCTAGAGACCCCATAGGGACCCCATAGGGCCCCATAGAGACCCCATAGAGCCCCATAGAGACCCCATAGGCACTCCATAGAGACTCCATAGTCCCGCCCCCAAAACCCCCAAGGCCCACATTGACCTCACAGCCCCCTACCCCAAAACCCCCCCCAGCCCCATAGACTCCCAGACCCCACATCACCCCTGCAGCCCCATAGCCCCCCTTCACACCTTCCAAGCCCCCCACCACCCCCATCACCTCATCACCCCCCGTCACCCCATAACCCTCCCATCACCCCCCATCACCCCCCATCCCCC